TAATTAACTGATCATAATTTATGTGTGTCTGTATCTGTCTTATTTATGTCATTTCAGTGAGCCATGAAGTGGAGGGAAAGACATGTATGCAGGAAATCAATACAAGGGATGCTGGTGAACGGCCTATAGTTTTTTTGTTTTTGTGTTACCGTGGCAACGTTTCTGAACCTATAACTACTTCATTTCCTCCCTACCCTCCCATACTGCCACACACACACACACACACACACACACACGAGTTAGAGTAAACAAACTGCAGCTTTAATAAAAGTATTTTTTCCAACAAGACCCTCTGTATGTATTAAATTATAGATATTGAGTTTGTGTGTTTGTAGGTGTCATTTTGGTATAAACTTTGCTCGTCCTTGAATCATAAGCTCCATTGAAAGAAAAAAATTCCAGACCTCACTAATTTCTAAACCCTGGCTATGGCCCCGGTAGTAGCAGTAGCAGTAGTAGTACTAGTATAATAGTAGTAGTATTAGTAGCAGTGTAAAATTCCTCCCTGCTCTACCCTCCGCAGACATTAGGTGGCAATACCGTGCCGCCCCATGAGTGATCCTACCAGAGAAGAAGACGCAGCAGGAAGTAGCAGCAGCAGCAGCAGTAGTGTTGTTGACATCACCCTCGTCTCTGTCATCATGGCTTTCCTCTGCAGAAGTGCCGCGGTGCTGCTGAAGCCCTGCAGCCGAGCTCCGGCCGCCCTGAGCGACCTGTCCGCCTCCCGGCTCTACAGCTCAGGTAAAGGGGGTGGGGAGAGAGCACCCGGGGTCAGTCTCCATGTTACTGCTGCTCCAATGTCAAGAAAACATGCGCCACCACTGTGAGACGCATGTGCAGCAGTTAGCAGAGTAAACTTCATCGTGTCCTGACACCTTGTTTGACGGAGTTATGACCCGAGGACAAGTCAGTGTAAAGATCATGTCACCCTGAAGTAGTATTTACACTCCTAACACATAGATCACGTGAAGCTTGTTCTTTAACCTTCATGTGTTGTTCCTGATTCTCATCTCCAAAACCTTGAGAAGGGGCCCTGACCATTTAATGAACAACTTCATCATGATTTCTACGTTGTGTTTACAGAGCACTGGAAAACACTGGGGTTTTCATTCAGTGGTGCACTGTTTGAAAATGTGAACCAAGCTCTGGATTCATCTGATCATAGTTTTGTGGCACTGTGCAAGCCCCTGCAGGTCGAGCTGAGTTTCAAGCTTGACACAATAATTAAAGAAATCATTCATATGTTTAAAACTCAGATGGCTGTGTGAGCAGGTTCCTCAGTCTCATGAATCACCTTCAGAGAGAGTCACATGAACATCTGGTCTTAAAGCTTTGATTTAGAATTATCTGGAGACAGATGTTTGTGGTTTGACATAGAAATTCTATGAAATCTTGGTGAAGCCAAAATAAATGTAACCTTTTTGTGGCCTAACACTTAAAAGTAGTTTTGTACCTTTGCCTTACAAGGTGTATTGGTGGCCTCCAGGGTCTCTGTGAAGCCTGAACACAACGCTGTTAGTGTTGATCCTTCACCTTTTCTTCAATGATTAACCAGAACTTCACCTTTCCTTATGAAACCAAAGTTTCTGACACTTTGGTGACCCGGGTGAAAGTCTACACTCCAACCCAGGAAGCAGCTGTCATGTCGGCAATAAGCAACTGGCAGGATATATGCAGGTCTGGTTTTGTAACATCTTTGTATGTTGCAGTTCTTTTTCAGCTATACAAATATGTGCACGCTCTAATAGAACTGCTAACAAGACCCACGTGGAACGGATAACTGATCGTCTCTGAACACCTCGGTCTGAATTTATCTCAGTACACTGGGCTCGGCTGCAGGGAACACTATGGATACCGACTGTCTCTGTATGTAGTTTGAGAGATTTTGTGGCGTTTAAAGCTTTATTCACTACTGGGCTACTTCATCTTATCTTCAATTATGGGGAAGTGTAAATAATTCTAGGACTCTGATATTTCTTTGTATCTGTCTCACTTGACAAAGATCTTTAATTTGATTCATTAAATCTAAACTGAAACCTGCTGATACCCTGTTATACTTAGTATTGAATGGCCTCAGATTGGTTATTTAAAATGCTGAAGTCTCATCATCTGTGTTTGTTCCTCCTTCACACAGGCGGTCAGTTTGAGTATATTCTGGTGGAAAAGCGAGGTGACAAGAACAATGTGGGTTTCATCCAGCTGAACCGGCCAAAGGCTCTCAACGCTCTGTGTGATGGGCTGATGACGGAGGTGGGACGGGCCCTGGACTCTTTTGAAGCTGACGCAGACGTCGGAGCTATCGTTATCACCGGCAGTGACCGAGCCTTTGCTGGTGAGGCAACCATGTGGTTGTGTTTAAAATACAGAAAGAGAATGTAAAATAATCTGTTTACGGTGATGCATCAGCAGTAAACTTTTGTTTGTTTGTTTTTTCAGCTGGAGCGGACATTAAAGAGATGCAGAATCGAACCTTCCAGGAATGTTATGGTGGAAACTTCCTGGCTCATTGGAACAGGGTGTCCACAGTGAGGAAACCTGTCATTGCAGCTGTCAATGGATTTGCTGTGAGTGTCCCTTTTTTAAATTTCATTTATATTTTCAACTGAGGGAAGATATTGTGAATATGACAGATAAGGCAATAAAAACTTTTCAAAATTAGAAAATGTAAATTCGTAAGAACACTGAACACCCACCATTTGTTTCCAGAAAACAATAGGAATTGAGCTCAGTTCCAAAAGATTTATTTTTCTTTTTTTTTTTTTCCTTTAAAGTAACTGAAGAGTAGACCTAAAAGACGAAGGGCATCCACATACTTTTTGACCATATTGCACAGTATTCAAGATTCACAAAATAAAAATGTGGTATGAAATGAGGAATATAAATTTCATTCACTTCGTCTGTGTTAAACTCTGCTCTCCTGTTCAGCTGGGTGGAGGCTGCGAGCTGGCCATGATGTGTGACATCATCTACGCCGGAGAGAAGGCGCAGTTCGGCCAACCAGAGATCCTGTTGGGGACCATTCCTGGTAAAAACTCGATCGCCTTACTTTCCGTCTTCACACTTCACTTCCTTGTACTAAGGTTACCAGATTCTTGCTGTCGGAGCAGCTGTTCATCACGTCTGTCTTCCTGCAGGGGCCGGAGGCACCCAGCGCCTGACTCGTGCGGTGGGCAAGTCCCTGGCGATGGAAATGGTACTAACAGGAGACAAGATCAATGCTCAAGAAGCCAAGCAATCAGGTAACGGCAGCGATAGACAGTAACTACATACTTTATGGCTACTGTAAATTTTGTGGCACTTGTACGATTTATTTTTACTTTATTGTATTGACACATTACTTTAGACATGCATCTGACTAAAGATGTGATATGATGATACATTCTGTTCTCGTTTCCTCAGGTTTGGTGAGTAAAGTTTATCCTGTGGACCAGCTGGTGTCTGAAGCTGTTAAATGTGGGGAGAAAATTGCCGCTAACTCCAAACTGGTCTCTGCTATGGCTAAAGAGGCTGTTAACGCAGGTGTGTAAAGTTTGTGTAAGAAGTTGGATATCTTAAACCGTATTAAACTGAACAAGTTTGTTTTGACTGACTTGTTCCTCTTGTGTCGCTGAAGCTTTTGAGCTGACTTTGGCTGAGGGGAACCGTTTGGAAAAGCGCTTATTCCACTCCACCTTTGCTACGGTAAGTAGAAGAGCCCCCCAGACAGAGAGAGGACTGTAGACTCTGTTTTTGACAGTGCGCTCATTGTGTTTGTGTGTTTGTTTCCCTGCAGGATGATCGTAAAGAAGGCATGACGGCATTTGTGGAGAAGAGAAAGGCCGATTTCCAGGACAAGTAGAAAAGATTGGATGAATAGCTCAGCCAAGAAGACTCATATTACTGGGTTATTATCTTTTCCACAACAACTTGAATGATGCAAAAAACCTGACTGTAGTGGAACATGTCCGCTGTATAAATTCAGATTTGACAGTGATTGAGAGCACAGCAGTGTCTTCATCGGTACAGTGAAGCTGCTGCTGAGGCTCAGTATAAATCAGATGCAGTTGAGGTACAGGTGGGTGCAGTGGGTGTGTATGTGAACACTATATGAAAACCGTGTTACAGTCAGTGTCTCATAGGAGGAATCTGCTGATGACTTGTACTGACTTTGCCTTTTTCATTTTTTCAAATGTTTGTCTACATTTTGTAGGCTGCTGTTATCCATATGCACATTTTACGAATAAAACTCTAGATTGGTTTTCATTACTGCAGCTATAGACCTCTGAGCACACAGACAGTATTTGGAAGATAACATCTGTTATATTAATTAACATTGCATACACGCATGTACACTGTCAATTGCTGCAGCTCCTCTTTTCAGCCTCTGTCTGAAACGAGATACAATACAAATGTGGAGCTTGTGAGCTTGTCATGTGACATCACAGTGCCCTGGAAGCTTTGGCTGGATGACTAACGAGTTGTTTCAGGAGCTTCAAGGCCAGTTTTTTTTCTAAAGGCAAGAAAAGCTCCCTTTACAGTGAACAAAGCTGAAAAAGCTGAGTATGTCTCAATTTAAGTAATTAGGCTGCCCCTTACACATGTAATCAGAAAAGGCTGCACATGAAACATACATGAAATGCAGTAAATAGTGTCAGCTCCAATATTAAAAACTGATAAACAAGGGGATTCAGTTCAGCCAGCAGTGTGTACGTCTCACCAGCAGATGGGGCTCTTGTGTTACAACCATAGACTGGGTTATAACCAGTTACAACCTCAGGCACAAGTGGAGAAAATTAATTCTGGCCTGTTGCATTGAAAAGCACCAGGTTGTTTGCAGATGAGTCCTTGATTTAATGCTACTGAGAATGAAATGACACTTTTTACGTCAATAAGTAAAATAACGTCCGAAAAAACATGTCAACTTCCTGTATTTTACATTAAATTAGCCCCTTATTCTAACAAATGAAAGTTGACATTTTGCCACATTTGCAGACTTGTTTTAAAGATCAATACATTTCCAAAAGCTTCATGAATATATCTGTAAGAATGTGTGACCAAGAGGAATAACCTAGATTGATCTGTATAAGCCCATGGTGTGTTCATCATCTATATCCAATTGAAATAATCAGTAACACATAAAACCATATTTTTGACTTGAAAGAGAAACAGCAGAACAAATGTGGTTAATGAGCTCTTTCTTGTGCCGCTCCAATCATCGCAGGGCTCCTTCTCTGTGTGATCTTCACACGGCGGCTCCCCCATATTTTCACAAGGCTGTGGCCTAATTGAATTTTATTTTCATTCAATATTCCCCCTGGAGCTCAGTTTCTTGTCAGCTCCCTGGAACAAAACTTTAAAAAGGAGGAGGAGGGAAAAAAAAAACTTGTCTCCTCAGTCCCACAAAAGTGCACAGAAGCTTCTCTCTGAGGCTGTAGCAAAAGGTCAAAATAATAAATGTAGACTCAATTGAGGCTCCACAGACACACAAAGGGGGCAAAACGTTACATTTTGGCAGCGCAGACCCTCATGGCGTGATAAACTCATTTAAAGAAGCTGGGATAAAGAGAAAGCAGCATGGGTCCACAGGGGGAGAAAGAGGCTTTCAGTCCGGCAGACAGGCCTGGCTCCAGCAGGCGTCTTTTCTCCGGCCCTAGCTACTGACTCCTATTCCTCTGCAAAACATCACCCATATTCCTGCACAGCCTCTGTTCCTCCTGCAACCAGTTCATTCTAAATCAGGAAGCTGCACCATAAACACCACTTCTGATATACTGGGAATAGCTCACTATAAAGTTAAAATAGATTTCTGTTTCCCTATAGGAAAGGATTTTTTTGTAATGTGATGTGCACAATTAGCAGAAAACAATGTTTTCATATTGCTCAGCACAAACAATAGGAATGTGCAATAAAAGTACCAGCATATTTCTGCAGTTTATTATTACCAGCAGCTGAATACAGGTTGTAAATTCAGTATAGGCCCACATGCCTGCAGTGCTACACTGTGGCTTGACTTTCTCTTAAAGGCCTTTTTATATGCAGATGTACTGCTTTTTTCCCCCTTTTCTTTTCTTGTCTTTTTATCAACCAGGATCTGCGGTCATGGTAAAAACAGATTCCTCAGCATTTTTTCTACCATTCAAGGGTTGTTTCTCTGGCTCAGATGAAGTGAGTGGTTTTCATCAGACGAATATTTTCATTATCTCACATTCCTGGCAGCAGGGGCCGTATCGAAACAAAACGTTCACCGGTGTCTGCTCTGAATTATGCCCACCCAAGGGTGTCAGAAGAAACACAGGGCGAAAATTAACTGACTGTTGTGTTAATGAGACAACACTATTTCATAGAGTCAGGCGGACAGCATTAAATTACTATACTGAGTCTATTTACAAAATTCATTATAAATATATCACTTTTTCAATTACATTTTCATAATATAAAATATAGTGATCAAATAAAATGATACTGAATGAATGACTTGTTTACAATATATAACATTTTGTAATATTGTGATACAAATATTTTTTCTGATATGTATTCAATATATTTATTCAATATGTATGTATATTCAATTCGATAATAATTTGGTTTATTAATTAAATTACATAAATATTATATTACAATATATATAAATATATATATATACACACATTTAAAATATATATCTAAATGTATATAAAAAAGTAGGCTATGTATCAATATAGATATGCATGCTCATTTAAAATGAACAAATATAAATTACATATTATGTTAATTATATATAATAATTAAATTATATATGTTCATTTAAAAAAATATATATTAAATTCAATGTATCTATGTTACAAAGCTTACATACCGACAGTTTAATTTGTTAAGTGATGGTTTGAGCAAATTTTAAGTTTGTGAAAGGACTCGGTGTAGAAGCCATCTCACCAATGAAATTAAGGTCCATGGTCACATGACTTATTTCCAAAGATGTCGAAGTTATATCAAGATATTTATTGACTGAAAAATGAAATGAAATTCAGCTTTAAAGCCAGAAATATCATCACGACACGCATGCGCAGACTGGAGCCTGTGAATGGTAAATTGTTTTTATTTTAATTACCCTGCGTGTGTTTTATGGAGTTAAACTAAGCAGGAAGTAGACGGGAGGAGTGCTCTTACTTCTCCTCTCTGACAACATGGTGGTGTTGATCGGGATCCCCTCCGTGCTCTCACCTGAGCTGCTCTACACTCTGGCTCTGATGGGCCACGGGGATGAACTGGGTATGATTCTGAATTATGTGCACACGTGGGTGGTGTTTTCTTATCTTAGTCATGACCAGTGTATAGACTGATCCAAGCCCAAGTCAACGCCTGAGGAAACAGTGACTCAGCAGGAACCGACCTGTGACTTAACGTCTTTTCTTTTCTCTTCCAGTTCTGGCTGATGCTAATTTCCCAGCATCCTCCATCTGTGCCTGTGGCCCCAAAGAGATAAGAGCTGATGGTATAATTGTCTGGCGCTTTAAAAAACTAATCCTAAAAACAGGAAATGTTAGCACTTCACACTTCCGGTTCCGTTTTTTTATTTTTTTTTATTGAACCATTTTCAAATATGGCCCTTAAATCTAGAACCTGTGTAACAAATCATTTACAGGTGCAGGTCTATAAGTTCATGAAAAACAAGAGGCAAGACCGACGTGGAACTCGAATATTGTCAGGCATAAGAAAGAAAGAAATGAATCAATAATACAATAAATACAACATAATAAAGTTAATTATTGAAGAAATATTGAAGAAATGATTGAGAAACGAGTCCATTGCACAGAAATTCATTATAAAACATTAAGGCTCAGGTTGGGAATCCTGTAAATGTGGAACACCATGATGTCATGTAGCGCCAGCAGGCTTCACAAAACACTTGAGCGTGCGCTGGCTGACAGCCGACTTCTCCATGCTACAGTGTTGTTTGAGTCCATAAATAATGTCCTTTTTAAGGTGTCATGTTGGAAATATGGAGGGAAGCCACAGAGCCTCAGAATCCTCTCCACATAGTTGACAAAGTATTTTGCTACACTTTTTTTGTTCTGTCACAGCTCTCATTATCAAATCCATGAAGAAAGCCGGTTTGTTTTCTCTTAATGGAACCACGGGGATGCTAACTTCTGGGCTGACTTATACAAAAAACATCATCCCTGCAGCTTTCTGTTTTAAACTGTTTTTCCGCCTGTGTCTGATCTTCATGTAGGTTTGGGAATCCCAGAGCTTTTGAAGGCCATCTTGAAGCTGTTGCCTCTGGACACCTACGTCCCCTTTTCGGTACAGGACTCGTCTATCTAATAAATCCAGAAATCTCTGTCTGTATGTGGAATGCATATCTCGAGAACCATACACCTCATTGTCTCTAAATTTGGCCCACTTTGAATGAACTGGTGTGGAGCAGCTTGAGGGTTCTGCAGACTGACACCTGCGGTCAGTCTTGTCTCGCTGCAGCTCTATTACTGCAGGTCACTTTTACATTTTCAGAAATATAGCTGCTACCAACATTCCCACAGGCAAGCTAACATTCCAAACAGACATATTTAGTACCGGCACTGCACTAGTAAATCTAAACTGAGGTTCATCTTCCAGTTATCATCAATATATATATTTTTTTCTCTTTGACAATGTTGCTGTCTTCTAAAATGTAAATATGTTGCATCAGGCTGCAGTCATGGATCTGGTGGACAGTGACAAACAGAAAGGTTTACCTGTGCCTGTGTGGGACACCTACAAAGATCTCCTGGACAAGGCTGGGTCTCAGGTGAAACTGCCAGTCCACCTAATTATTGAAGAATTCAGAGGGTAGCTCGACGAAACTGCGTCTATCAGATTGATGACTCATCTGTTAATTCCTCTTTACATACAGAGTCCTGTTGAGAAGGTGGAGAGGTTTGCTTTCTATGAACGAGCCAAGAAGGCCTACGCTGTTGTAGCGACAGGGTGTGTATTTTCTCTGCCTTCATTTGAATATTAGTGCTGAATAGAATATTTCATACTGTCTGAAAAAAGAACACACAAGCATTTGTCACTGCGTAAAAGTTGAGGGACATTCCCCACTGGAGAAACATTTGTCATCTTTTAATTTGTCTTATTCAGAAATTTAGCAAACTCTTAAGTGTCCAAAGTGTTTGGACTGTTTCTTGTGTTTACCTGTGATCTGTTTTGTTACCCTGATAACCAGCTTCATGTTACATTTTGTGGGGGTTTTTTTCCCTCTGCTCTGTCTACATAGGGAAACCGCTCTTTATGGTAACTTGATACTGAAGAAGGGGGTCATTCCTGCTGAGCTGCTACAGTGATGCACATATTCTAATAAGTCATGATGACCTAATGACTATATGTGCAACAACTATTAATTCTTGTTAATTTGTCATTTATAGAACAAATATGATCAGATTAATTTCCAGTTTACCGGAAGCAGATGATTTTATATTTTTTCAATAAAGGAAACACTGAAAGTCGTACATGTTTAAAGTGTATTTATCACCAACATACAAATAAAAGACACTGACATACATATATGATAATTGATAGTTTAACAGTTTAATGGAGTCAAAATGAACATGCGATTAAGATAACATGATCACAATAAGGATCTTCAAAGGTTGTGGTTGTTGAATGATCACATGTGGTAGAGATCATCCAAATCTTCCTCTGGTTCACTGTGCTTCCTCTGATAAGGCAAATCAACAGGAGCACCAGATTCAGCAGCATACTGGTAAGGAGCGGGCTGCAGCTGTTCTTTGTGATACAGGTCGTCCTTGTCCTCCTCTGGTTGGAGGTGAAGTCTGACCTTATTTTCTCCGATGACCTCAAGCCTCAGTGGCTCCACCTGCACGAAAAAGTTCTGGTCGTCACGATGATACAGCTCGTCCTTGTCCTCCTCTGGTTCTGAGTGTGCGACGCTGGCCCATGCACCAGCTTTGTACTGGACCTGCTCGGCTTCCTGTGAGGCCACCTCGCTGAGAACAGGGTGGTCAATGTTGTCTCTATCCTCCTCTGGTTCGTCGTACGACATGTCAGCAACAGGCTGGACATCCTGGTTAGGGACTTTGAGGAGATCTTCCATTGAAGGATGGTGCAGCTCATCCAAGTCTTCTTCAGCCTTCGGGGGCCGTTCCCTGCCCGCCATGCTCTGCCAAATCTTCATGCTGGGGTCGAAGTCGTAGTGAGTCTCGTCCAAGTCCTCAGGAGGTTCCACTTCCACTCCCCAGGACATCTTTCCTTCGTCATCCATGGACCTGAAATAAACATCACGCAACTTCAGTCTGCGTCGCATCAGTCCAAAAAAAGATTATTCACTTTCTTGTTAGTTAAAGGAAATTGAAACTTACATAACTGTATCCTGGAATGCAGCATCTGTAAGTTTATTCTGAGAAAAGAGCACAAATGTTACGCAACTGCTGTCCAAATACAATTTTGTGGTCATACAGACATGCTGGTCGTTTCAAATTTATCAGGAATAATTAATCATGAAGCAGTGGAGTTTATGCTGACGACAGCTACGAGACATCTACACATACCCCCGGTTTATATGGCTTCGCTGTGGTGCCATATATCAGGGAGACACAGACTAGTAGAGAAAACCTGCATGTGAGAAGACTCAGGGTTAATGTCCAGATTTCAAATCAGCAAGACATTACGAAGGTGATCATTGTCTAGTCAAACAAACAAACCCTTAAAATCAGGCTATACAGTGTTGACAGTCAGAAACCATTTGAGGCCATGTTGTTTTCCTACCTGAACATAGTGTCTCTCTTTCTGCCTTCAGCTCAATGTTTTGGCTCCTGACAAAAAGATATTCTGATTTCTCTTCACCTGACGCACAGGACCAAAGTTCCACCTATAAACCAGATAAGAATTTCCTGACCTTTGTTTCCTCTGAACACGGAAGCGTCAGCTGTAATTCATCTTTCTTTATCTCGGTTGTGTTGTACATAACAGTTGGTTGATTATAGTTGAATTAATGCGTCTGTCATCAAGTGTAATGAGTGACTGTATTACACTTGATGACTGTATATACTTGACTGTATATACCAATATACAGTAAAACTATACTGCAGTTAACCTTTGTTATTATGTGAATAAAGGACATTCTTGTGTCTGAATTGCTGCACATAGAGACTATTAAAAATATTGAATTATATACTGATGTATATAATCACAATCACAAGGTTATAGTCCTATGGCCTGAGATATTTGATCCTGAGACAAAATTTATTATGCAATTAAAGTTTCTTTAATCTTCTTAACACAGAGACTGCATTGAGCCTAGTGACAATATGACTAACAATGCTACACAAATAAAGTACATTATTGTGTATTACATACATGAACAACAACTAAAACCTGTTTCTGGCTTACACCACTTTTTTAACAACTCTCTGAAAACAGTGCCACTTTTATTTATTTATTCATTCATCCCTGGGGACACATTTCTTTTAGTTTTTTCAATTGGCATCAAACCTCTGTTATGCCTTACATAATTTTAATTGAGTTATGTCTATTGTTTCATATATTTATAATGAGCACATTTAACATTCTGCTTTGGATTAGTAAATTATTATTATTTTTTATATTATATTATTATTATTCACATTTGTGCTTTAAAATCAAAGAGGCAGAAAAGACATATATATACACATATACATTTGCAAATATATACACACTTATAAATTTACATATATATAATATATACACACACATATATATATACAAATCCACTGTAAGAGCACTGATTGAGGGCAGATGATCATTCTGTGATCTTATTGCCAGGCACAACTCTACATCCATGCCAAGATCCTCACACTAAACTCACAGTTTCAGATTCATGTTGTTTAAGTTTAAACTCAACTCTATAAATATTTTTTTCTGATATGCAGCCAACACATAAATCTTTGTAACTCTGAGGCTATGTTAAACGTGTGTAAGTTGATATTCTCTGCCATGGACTGAGTCAGCTAATCTAACATAACATATACACCCCTGAGGAATATGATTACAGCTCAGCTCAGTGGTTCAGACTCTGCTGGTGTCGGCATCACGATGCTGTTGTCACTACAGCATTATGAGAACGTCTTCAAGACACCTTTTATAGACAGTCGGAGAATTAACATGGTTTAACAATATCAACAACAGGATTTAAGCATACACACACTGTACAGCAGAACAGGAGCCGGCAGACACAGCACACACTTCCTGTCCTGTACGACGGATGGCTCCACTGTGTCTGCCTGTTATCTGCCCTCTCTATCAGATCCATGTGTGCAAGTCCGATGCTGCCCCTCAACTATAGCCCCTCTCCCAGGCCACTGGGTGGTCTACTACCCAAAGAGGTTCACTCTACATCTTTATAGTCTGTGAAATACAAGAAAAAAACAAAAAAAATGTTTGGTTTAGTTTTTATGTCCTTCACCAAGAGTCGATCAGGGGAGGGAGTCGCAGTAGCAAGGTCACGCAGATACACATGTTCGACCAATCACATTAGTTACCAGATACAGACAAGTGCTTAGCTAACCAATATATTGGTGTTGGACAACGTAGCCTCATTTAGTGTACAGATGTGAGAGTGATATCATTATGTTATGTCTGAACCTATGAAATTTCCACAGACTTACAGGAAAACACCTCTGTGGTGTGGCCAGCCTCTGGCTGGTCCAGAGGAGCTGCGACTTAGCAAATGAGTCCCTATTGATTGGAGTTATCATGCCTCAATCACTCCACTGAGGTGAGGAAGTGAAGTTTAAAAAAAGTAGAAACATTTGGCAGGGTAATCTGTTAGGATTGTTGTACCATACAGCCCCTCCAGAGAGAGTCAGGAGATTAGTCCAGTGCATGTCTGAAAGCAACTTCAATGAAAACCAATGTGTAACCTTTGAAAGTTTTATTTTAATATTGGAGCACTTTAATAGCCAGCAGCAATTGGCTTATGCATCTAACCCCTGTAAAACAGTAAAATGTAACTGCTTAATGTGCTCATTAAACAAATGAGATATAACAAGTTAATTATTGAGCTGATTGATTTTTTACCTTTGGGTCGAGGCTGATAAAAATGTAATATCAACGTGAGCTTGTATTGCTCTCATTGGCTCATACATAAAAAACAGATACAAATCTTTATGTTGCTGAATCTTGTGAGGATGATAAATAGGCAATGTGTCACTATGAGTTTGTATTTACTTGTCTTTGGTGGTGAAGAAGTTTATGTAGAGTAATTATAATGGCCGGAAGCAAAACAAGCATGAGAGACAGTAATATCTCTCAATGAGCCTCTCCTCTTTCCAAAAGGCTGCAGGTGATGTGAGGATAAGTCAATCGTTACATGTGGTTTGTTCAGAGTGTGGCCTGACACCTCTGGAAGTCATCAGAAGATTCATTTGATCTGCCAAGCGATCGAGGTGCAGATACGTTATCCTGGTCCCGTCCCTGCATACCTCTGCTCATATCCCGCTCCGGGTGATGTGCATGTGCCAGTTGAGAAGCGTGAATGTGCACGTATCATGTGAGAGACATTAAGCCCTTTAAAAATGTGAGGACGGCAATAAGGGCCGGAAAGAAAGGGAGTTGTCAGCAAGTGATGATTGCTCCCAATAAACTATGAAACACACACACACACACTGTTATTGCACATAATGTAAAGAGGGAGCCAAGAATAAATTGCCTGTCTGTAATTATTTAAATGCGGCAGTAAGCCATGATTTATAAGCAACATTCTGGATGAGAAAAGTGTTGCAGCTTGCAGCAAATTATGAGGGAAACCACTAAAATGAATATTTGACTAAACTCCACGTTCTTGGCATCTTTTGTTGAATATTTCTGCAGCACAGTTCTTGCATTGGGGCATATGAAGGATAAATGCATGTGTCCACACTTTGCAGTGTCACTTACTTAACCACGTGCACAAAATGTTGTCAGATGCAGTAGACGGATATGTCAATACCACTGGTGACAGAAGTTCAATGCAGGATCTGAAGTCCTGGCTCTGTTCCGAAACCAATAACATCTTATCAGTGAGTGTGAGGGATGCCTGTCGTGTTTCTGCCTGACACTCAAGCGGCACCTTCATCAAATAAAAAAAAAAACATGTAATAAAAACAGCATAATCAACAGACGACAATCAGTCCGAGACATCAGTCTCCACGTAAAACCTCAACACATATTGTATTGCTGTTTGAAATTTGATCATGAATATTACATAATTGCACGGAAAACAGAGAAGTCACTAAAACAATCATCAGCACTGAAACCTCATCATCACCGTCATTACTTCCAGTAAATCCCATAAAGGTCGTCCTGGAGAGTGAGGCCTGTATTTGAGGCTAACCACCCCTCTGTCTCCGTCACATCCCCCCGCACTCACCACGTTTAGGAAAAGCTGGGGTTTTCTAAATAACTAAAATTAACGCAATGATCTACAATTAACTTAATTGGTGCCTCACCGACACCCATTACACACACATTAGACATCTCCTGGTGGAGTTTAACCACACAAATTACAGGGCTGAGGGAAGGACCTCCCTGGAAGAGTGGAGGCGAACATGAAATGTTGTGACGACGGTCTGGTTAACGGTGGGGAGCTGTCAGACTTATGAGGCAGCCGCAGGAAGAATTAGCAAAGCCATCTGCTCAGCACTTAAACGCAGGCACCTGAGCCTTTGACCCTGCCTTTAACTCGGTTTGATGCTAATAAAATTCCTCCTCCGGGAACAGGTGGGATTTTTACAATGAGGGGAGGGAAGAGCCAGTCAGTCTGGGGCCCGGAGCCACCTGACTCTTTGGGTCCACAGGTACTCTCTGTGGAAGGTCTCCAGCAATAATGGTGTTGATGACAGCTGAGGACGACCAGGGGAGATGGGCCAGGAGACAGAAAGTGCAACTTTCCCTGTGTGTCATGTAACTGATGACAGAGGACTGGGAAGCACTTTGTCTGCCGCAGAGGAAAATGGCTCTCCCTCTTTGTGCAGGGTGGCTGATCTGAAAAGCTGATCTGAGGGTCCTGTGTGAAAGTTGGACATTAGTGACGGGTGTATCAACAATGGAAATACGTCATAGACACAGAAAGCTCAGGTGGTCTCTGTCTATCTCTCTCACTCACACTCACTCACTCACACACACACACACACACACACACACACACNACACACACACACACACACACACACACTCTCTCTCTCTTCCTCACCCCCCTCATAACCTCAGTAAACACGTGGGAGCTGTTAAAGTGAGCTTAATGACTGTTTACTGTGTTTTGTACGCTTCTCATTAAACACATTTTCCACTCAGGGAGAAATAATGTTTTGGAAAATTCTGTTAAATGAAACACATCACGCCACTAAGCACATGTGGCTTATTAATTAGACAACCTGCCCTCTAAAGGACACATAAGGGAACTGCAGAAACATGACTTAATGCATTTACTTAGGTGGTTTGTTTTAAAAAAATTGAAGAGACAACATAATCAACTTGTAAGTGGATCTACCAGACTTTTTTGCAAACAGTTGCCTATTTACATATCCAACAAATACATTGGGATATTAAAATTTATTTCAGGTTGTGTTTATCTCACTTCCTGATGAAGTGCTTCGCTCTCCTTTTAGCTGCTGAATGTTTCACTGTGCTCACCAGCTATAGTCGCTAAGTGTGTCTGAGTGGTGCTTGGTGCTGAGCAGGAAGAGAAGTGGGTAGTTAAAGTTTAAAACATTTAAAAAGTGTGTTTTAAAGTTAGTTAGATGGTAAATGTTCTGTATTTAAGTAAAGCTTTTCTAAAGTTTTGACAGTCATCTATTCACACACACTTTCATACAGTCTATCTAT